TCTCTCTCTCTCTCTCTCTCTCTCTCTCTCTCTCTCTCTCTCTCTCTCTCTCTCTATGACATACGTTTTTCGTTTACTTGGACATATCTTCTCCGATGTTGGTGAGGTATTTCTGAGATACTAGCTCGGCCTCCACTTTCCTTGCGGTATCAGTCGCGCAGCCGACTAAAATGAGAATCGAGGTTCCTGCAAACCCCCGGAACGTCGTCAGGTGCGTGACACCCTCCACTAAGGCCGGTGCCAGTGCGAGAGATCCCAAGAACACCGACCCCAAGATGGACATCCGCGTGAGCACGCCCGTTATGTAATTAGCCGTAGCGCGCCCGGGTCTGACGGAGGGAATGCTGGCGCCCTGCCGCTTGAGCTGCTCGCTGACGTCCTTGGGGTCCAGCTGCAGGAATGTGTAGAAGTAGTTGAAGAAGGCAATCAGCACAACATTGGTGGGGAGGTAAATGGGTCCCGTGGGATTGAGAGCGATGGCTAGGCTGCGCAGAAAGCCGACGCCGGAGAAGCGAGCTATGGTGGCCGGCGCGGCGAGCAGAGAGGAGGAGAAGATCACTGGCATCACCCCCGAGGAGTTTACCTTGAACGGCAAGTAACTGCTCCTGCCCAGACCTCGGTTGTCTGCTCGGAATCGCGACGCATAGTTCATCGGGATCTTCCTCTCCGCCTCTTGCACGTAGACAATGCCGAACACAAGTCCCAAGAAACCGCCGACGATCGCGGCTAATCCCAAGTAGTTGTTGTCGTTGATGGCCTGCTGAACTGTGCGACCGACCGAGGCCGGCAGATAGGACAAAATATTGCAGAAGATGAGGATCGAGGTCCCGTTCCCGATCTTCAACTCCGAGATCTGCTCGCCAATCCACATGACGATCATCGATCCGGCGGTGAGAGTGAAGGTGGATGACACGAACCACTCTAGGTCGAAGTGGTACACGTAGGGCCTGATGAACAAGCACTGGCCGAACGCCTGCGCGAAAGCGAAGGCCAAGGCGCCATATCTTGTGTACTGGAGGAACTTCCTCCTTCCCGCCTCCCCCTCCTTCTTCTGCAGATCCTGCAGCTTGGGAAACAGACTTGCCACCAATTGAAACACGATGGAAGAGTTGATGAAGGGCACAATGCCCAGGCTGAAGACCCCCAGCCTCCCTATCCCCCCCCCAGATAGGGTGTCCAATGTTCCTAAAATGCCTGATTGATCGAGCTGACTAGAGAAGGCCTTGATGTCTACCCCTGGGAGAGGTACATACACTCCTAATCGCGACAAGGCCACGAAGAGAAGTAATATACCTAATTTGGAAGGTAGCTTGCCTCTGAACAAGTCGCCGAGAGAAGGTGAACTGTCGTCAGAACCCAGGATAGACGAGGATGAACCCCTAGAGGAGGAGGAGGAGGAGGAGGAGGAGGAGGGGGGGGTGGAAGAGGGGATTGGGGGGGTTGGTTGGGCCTGTGTTGAAGGGCCTGGCTTCTGCGGGCCTCTCGTACCCCCTATCAAGCTAAGCACCGTTAGAGAGGGGGAGAAATTATCGCTGCCACGTGGCGGCGGAGAAGAAGAAGGCTTTCTGCTGCCATAGCGGCGCGTGCTCAGGTGGTGGAGGGGGTCAAATACCCAGTTGGGGCGCAACGTGGCATGCCTCCTGATCACTCGATGATGATGATGATGATGAGGAGGAGGAGGAGGGTGGCGAGTATGGGAAGGGAGGCCTTCGTGGGTTGGGAAGCGTACAGTACGTCCGGCGAAGATGGGAGACCTACCACCCCAAGGGCTCCCGCACCCATTACACAGATTGCACACGTGGCCGTCGGAGAAGCCTCGTGTTGACACGTCAGCTACTGTTAGCTTCGCTGCGCGCCGACGTGGCATTGCGTCAGCCGCGACACGCGATGGCCCTCTCCAGAATCGGTGCGTCTTGGCTTTTGCAGATAGCCTAACCCTCCCCCGCGCCCCGACTCCATCGTTCCTTGCTCCTCCTCCTCGTGCAGCCGCCGCCGATATCGTCTGCTTCTCCCCTTGAGACACGTGGCAGCGGCGCGAAAGGCCAGATTGTTGCCACGTGGCATGATTCGGCCGAACTGGCACTCGCGAAACTCCACCTGCTTGCCAGCCCGATGACGTGGCAGCTGTTTGCGGTGGCCCGCCTGCCACGTGGGCACACTCGGCGGGAAAGATGTGGTCCCCCCTCCTTCGGCTGCACGCCGTCCCTGGCACCCCCCTGCTCAGTGGCGCGATGCTCTGCCACGTGGACGCCATTCCAAGCCCTACCCTATCCACACCCCCTTTCTTTCCGCTGACGTCTCGTTGTTTCGCGTCGGTAATGTTTCCCGGGCTTTTTTTTTTTGCCCAGATTTCACATTTGCTTCACTCTCGGGACGAGAGAACAGTGCGGACTTGCAACAACACTCGCCATCCCCCAAGATATTGAATGCATCTTGACCAATTCCTTGTCCGAATGCATTCAAAATCTTGGCGGATGGGCCAAAGGGCGTGGTTGGGTGCCCGCAACAGGCAGGCAAGCTTCTCGCTTTTTTTTTTTTTTTTTTTTTTTTTTTTTTTTTTTTCCATCGTCCCAATTTTAACGGATGTCCCGAAGGACGCTTCTCGCTTTTCGCTTTTTTTCCGTATTTCGCGAAGGGTCCCAGCCCCTAAGGGGTTGTTCTACCATTGAGCAGCAGCACAGAGGATTTGAACGCACGACGGTTTTATACGGACGTCTTTACCGTTCAGCGACATGACCGGGGGCTAGGTCCCACTTACACGAATTAAGCGATATTGACCGTAGATAGCAAAGATCAACGGCCAGATTCTCGTAATCAGTGCAAGTGGCTCCTGTAGACCTGTTGGGACAAAAGACTTTGGGCGTCGCTCCACTACTCCGGAAACGCAAAAAAGACAAAAATCATGGCGATGTATCTTTCCCTGTTCTAGCGGAAGATTCACTCTAGTTTTGCACATTTCGAGAGTGGTGGAGCGAGGCCCAAAGCCTCCAGAGACTCCTTTCTCGGCCTTTTGGCTCAGATGTAGGGCCTCGTTCCACGCCACTCCACTTTAGAATTTAGAATTTAGAAAGATACTCCACCAAAAAAAAGAAAAAAAAAAAGAAAAAAAAAAAGAAGAAATTCACCCTTCCACACTGCACTGCACTGGACTCTCACTTTCCCTAATTTGGGGGGCGTCCGGAGAGGCGGGAGAAATCCCGACGCCCGCCAAAAAACGTCAAGTGCAGCTCAAGTGCGGCCCAGGCGAATGGGTGAAATTTTTTCAAGCTCCCTCTCGGGCCACACTTGAGCCCCACTTCAAAACGGAGCACGTGAGAGTCAGGAGGCGGTTTGCAGGTGCTGTACGGGCCACGAGAGTCAGGAGGCGGTTTGCAGGTGCTGTACGGGCCACAAGAGTCAGGAGGCGGTTTGCAGGTGCTGTACGGGTCACCCCGGTGGGGGGTTTGTTTTTTGGCTTTTTTGGGCTGGGGCTAGGTCCCGCTTGCACGGATTACGAGATTCTAGTCGTTGATCTTTGCTATCTACGGTCAATATCTTTTAATAATTCGTGTAAGTGGGACCTAGCCCCTGGTGTAGTCTACTCCCCCGTTCCCTTGCCAACAGCCGCAGCCACTTGGCCGCTTCAGGGTTTTTTTTTTTTTTTTTTTTTTGTAGAACTTTGCTTGGTATTAACATGTCATAAATAGAGTCGGGGGACCTCACAGTTCAACCCGGGGCTAGGTCCCACTTGCACGGATTAAGAGATACTGACCGTAGATAGCAAAGATCAACGGCCGAAATCTCCTAGTTTGCGCAAGTGGGACCTTGCCCCCGGATTGCTGGAAAACAGGTCCAGCCTCCTTTCTTGAGTAGCAAAGCTGGAAAACCGGTCCAGCGTCCTGTCTCGAGTAGCAAAACTGGGAAACAGGTTCAGTATCCTCAGAAAAGGATGTAGAGAGCAGGCTGGAAACCAGGTCCAGCCTCCTTTCCAGCGGAAGTAGCTCTAGCGATTTTTCCTACCAATTGCCTCTTCACCCTCAGGGCGCCAAATGAAACTAGGGAGCTCAAGCTAGTAGGAGGCTAGTAATCGTCATATTCATCTTCATGTAACGAGCTGCGGGGCACTCTTAACCAGAGCCGGTCCTTGTTCTTGAGGCCTGCAAATACCAACACTGGAGGGGGTACGGATTGACTATCCTTCAGAATAAACTACTCCGCTGAGTAAACCAGCTTCATACTCAAGGGGGTCTAGGCCCCAAAAGCCATGGTGACAGTTTAATCCCCCCATTCTTGTCTCTCCTAGCAAATTTACTGTCTCTTCCCCACGTGCTGAAAAACCACCTGTAACTCTGAGACAGTCTGCCAGGCCTGATGCGCTTCCTCCAGTCCGCCCAGATCATCATTCTGATGTTTCCTAAAACCGACCGAAGGATGAAAACATCCGAATAGAATTTCTGTCTGAACAGACGATCGTTTCTCAGTTTCCAAATTACATTCATAATGGCAGCCCTTTCCAAATTACATTCATAATGGCGGCCCTTCCAACTGGCAGAGAGTCTTAAACCGCCAGTACCTTTCCCATAATATGTGGGCCGTGGGCCCTGCGCGCCAAGCTTTGCGGGCGCATCTGGCCGCCCCCGGTCAGCCGAATTTGGCCTTCCCATTACCCGGCGAGTTTCAGCAAAATGGCTGTGAAAGGTACTGGTGGGTTAAATGCATGGAAGAGGGTAATGCACAAGTCTTAGGGCGTCGCCGCACGGGACACGAAACGAAAAAAGAAATGAGTGCATCTTCATACAGAAAATAGCCAGGTTCATTTGTTTGCTATAAATAGTAACCAGTGTATTTTTGCCACCTTTCATGGGCAGATGCACACGTTTCGTTCTCGTTTCCTGTGCGGTGCGGCGAGACCCTTGGAGTGGTCAGAGCAGCCAGTAACCAAGGAGGCAGTCTTGAGACAGACTATTTTTGACGATCCGCCTAGTATCGAAAACAGCCCGGGGAGGAAGGGGGGGGTTCCTCCGCCTTGGCAGACACAAGTCCTAGGTCCTTCAGGAGGGCATGGATTCAGAAAGGGATCCTACGACTCGCTGATATACCTGATGAGATATCTGGATATAGTGGATGATCTCAGATGCTACCCTGAGAGAGGAAAAACATAACTACCGGTACTAGGCCTTCGGCCGCCTGTTGCTGAGCTGGTAGACTGGGAGGTGTGGATGACAAGACACAGGAAATTATGGCAACCATAGCAATGAACTGGCGTGAGCTGTTGGCAACAGGAGATCTCAGTTCTGTCCTGGGACTCCACCCCCACTTTCCTAAAATCCTTGGCACACCCCCTTTTTCGCACTTCCGGGCCCCCATCCCACTCCGATCAGGAAGTCGCGCTGGGCGTGAGGTTGGGCGTCACAGCGCGAGCGGTGGGCGACTAGTAAGAGAGAGAGGTGTGGAGAAAAAGAAACATGAAATTATCGCAACCATACCAATGAACTGGCGCGAGCTGTTGTGTAGTCCAGGGGAAGAAAGACCCACCGGGAACGTGGTACAGATCGCACTCAGAAGGTGAGATGATTACAGAAGAGGACATGACATTGTGAGGAAGTCATCACTCATCATGCAGTCGACAACAGAGTCGCAAAGTTGCGAACAACAGGAATACTAGTCAAACTCCAATGAAATCAAGATAGGAAAGATTAACTAACACTGTCCAGGTCGGCGTCCCCGATGCCGCGTTTCGGCAACGGCCACGTTGCCTTCATCAGGGGGTTCACCACCAAGCTACGTCCCTCTCTCACGCATCGTTCCGTCACTCCCACTTCCGTATGATCTCACTTATTGTCCGAAAAAAGCACCTAAGCAAACAAACAACCAACACCCACGAGCAGAACAGTCGCCCCCTGTCTACGTAAAGTCTAGAAACTACAGACGATCTCACTCATTGTCCGAAAAAAAGCACCTACCCAAAACAACCAACGAACAGTGTTAGAACAACCAACGCTTACGAGCGGGAACTGCTAACAAACAGTGTCCTTGAGCACACGTAAAGCAAAAACATAGAAAAACAAACTAAAGAAGAGCAAACTTCAAGATCGCCGACCAAGCCATAGGCCAAGCACAAACTTGGATGTGAACCACGTATAACAGCAACTCGATAAACAGTTCAGGCGTTAGTGGCACTGCACCCCTGTCCCTGTCCCGGTCCACCGATCCGCTCAAAGCTGCGGTCATTCTGATTTCTTTCTTACTCATGTGCATAGAAGCTCGGCAGTCAGACCCCAAATCCTATCCTTTCCGAGGGCAAACGATTTCAAAACCCGCTCGACGCAATCCGCAGGGTACCCTTTCAGTCCCATTTCCCTTTTCACTGTCAGAACCCGCATCGGTATCTCAGAACGAACCGTAGTGTTCTGGTCAATCCTGTACAGGTAACTTCCAATAAATGGCAATAATTGCATTCTTCTGTTGTTTACGCCCCCAGGAGGAATATGATGGGCCGTTCTTAAGCACCAATTTCTCCTCTGACCAGACGGTTTCCTCATTCTTAACAAGCTGCACACATCCGAGATGTGGATGCATTTGGCTTGTTCGAATCTCACAGCCCAAAAACTGCAGAATTCCATCTCCGGAGTCTGTTTTTTTTAGAACCAGGTTCTCCGGATAACAACCTTCGAACTTTTGTACAACTTCTCTTCGTACATCAACTGGTAGTGAACTTGTCACCAGTATCACGTCGTCAACCAGTCTTACGCCAAACACGCATTTCCTGTATGCACCGATGCTATTTGCACTGAGCATACGTGCACATAATACAGGCGGGGGCAGGGCTTGTGCTCTTCTCCATAGGAATTCCAATTACCTGCCTTAGCAAACCCCCCGTTGCGTGTGTATAAGTATGCCGCAGCTCCAATTGTACAAATTTCAATCCAATTGTACAAATTTCAACATTCCAATTGTACATTCAGAAGGCGAGGACACTCACCTCTAGAAGCGAGTGAGTTTCAAGCCATATGGTCGCAGGAATTTTCAAAAATTGGCACAAATAGCACAGTATATATCATCTCTTGCGCATGCTAGAAGAATGTGTAAAAAAAAAAAAAAAAAGGCAAGCACAGCATAACACCTCATTGATCCAACTGGATCAGGAAGAGTCTGAACAGATCAGACCGCTGGATCAGTTATGTCACGTAAGCGTCAGAGAGCACTGTAATGAGGAGGGTACCGGTAGTAATTGGTCCTGCGTACTGTGGGCAAGGGGTAGGCCGCTAAAAAGGGAAAAAAAAAGTTGCAGTGGCAGTAGCAAGGGG